CTTACCCCAATCAGTGAATTACTCACTTGATGGGATTAACTGAGTGGTGGCTGAAGGCAGATGGGGTGTGGTTGGAGGAGGTGGGGCGTGGAGGCGTGGGTATATATTTGTGTTTTGCAAGTAGAGATCTCTCTCTCTCTCTCTCTATCTCTCTCTTTGCTTTCTGATAATCATGTGAGCCTCTTCCTTCTGCCACTCTCTTCTATCATGATGTTTAGCCTCACCTTGAGCCCTTAGGAATGGTGCCTGCTGTCTATGGATTGAGACCTTTGAATCTGTGAGCCCCCCCAAAAGCTGTTCATCCTCTTCAGTTGTTCTGGTTGGGTCTTTAAGTCACAGCAGTGAAAAAGCTGCCTAAAACAGTAGTTTTTTTCAACAAATGGTGCTGGAGCACCCAGACATCGACATGCCAAAAGAAAAACAAACAAGCAACCCTCTCTCTGAAAAATATAACTAGACAAAACCTTACTTTTAAAAATATCAACTCAAAATGGATAATAGGCTTAAATATAAAATGCAAAATTTCAAAATTCCTAGATGATTAGATGATGATGATGATTAGATACAACACCCAAAGCATGATCTTCAGAAGAATAATTAATAAGATGGATTTCATGAAAAACTCTATGAGAAAGGCACTATCATGAGAAGAAGAAAATATCTTTCATCCTGGAATAAAATATTTTTCAAAGACATATGATAAAGAATTATCCAAAATATACAAAGAACTCTCAAAACTCAAAAACAAATTAAGAATTGTTTTCTAATTGTTAAAATGATTGCAAAGTGAACTAAAGACATTAACAGATACCTCATCAAAGAATATATACAGATGGCAGATAATTCAACATCATGTCATTAGGGAAATTCAAATTAAAACAACTGTGAGATCTCACCACATACTTATTAAAATGGCCAAAGTACAGAACATAAACAATACCAAATGCTGATGAGAATGGTGAGCAATAGAAACTATCATTCACTGCTGGAGGGAAGGTGAAATTTACAGCTACAATGGAAGACTGTTTGATAATTTCTTACAAAACTAAACATATTATTACTAATTCAGTAGTTGCTGTCCTTGGCATTTACCTCAAAGAACTGAAAGCTTATGTGTACACACAGTCATGGCACATGGATATTTATAGCAGCTTTATTCATAACTGCCAAAACTTAGAAGCAACCAAAATGTCTTTCAGTGGGTGAATGAATATATAAACTGTGGTACATCCAGACAATAGAATATTATTCAATGTTAAAAAAATGAGCAATCAAGTCCACGAAAAGATTTGAAAGAAATTCAAATGCATATTACTAAGCAAAAAGAAATAAATCTGAAAAGGCTACATATGGTATAATTCCAACTATATAATATTCTAGAAATGGCAAAACTGTGGAGACAGAAAACATATCACTGGTTGTCAGGATTAGGGAAGAGAAATGGATGAGTAGGAAGAACACAAAGGATTTTTAAGGAGTGAAATTTTAAAAGAGTGAAACTCTTTTGTATGATACTGTAAATAGTTGATACATGACATTATATATTTCTCAAAATGCCTAGAATGTAAAACATCAAGAGAGAACCCTAATGTGAACAATGGACTTTGGGTGACAATAATGTGTCAGGCAAGTGAATCAATTATAACAAATGAAGCACTCCAGTAGGGGTTGCTGAATATAAGGGAGGTGCTACATGTGTGGGACAGGGGAATATAAGAAATTTATGTATCTTTCATTCAGTTTTGCTGTGAACTTAAAAGTGCCCTAAAAAATAAAGTCTATTAAAAAAAAATTCAGAGAACAAAAAAGAGCTCTTGACAGCAGATACAAATTTCCAAATGTGAAGAAGTAGAGTAAAAGCATTTCTTAAATGTATATGACTAAATTCCCTAAATGTATGTAAATTCCTTTAATGCAGAGTATTTTGCAGGACTGGTATTCCCACCAAACACATTTTAGAAAATGTCACTGGAGTGCTAAATAATTATAATTTAAAAAGTAAGATGGCAGAAATGAGAAACTCAGTACAAAGCTTGGAAAATATAGTTGAGGAAGGCTTGTAGAATTGTGAATGAAAAGACAAACAGAATAGGGATAACAATAAAGAGGGAGTGGGCTGTGATTGTAGCTCAGAGGTAGAGTACTTGCCTAGCACGAGTAAGGCACTGGGTTCAATTCCCAGCACCACATAAAACTCAATAAACAAAAATAAAGGTATTGTGTCCATCTACAACTAAAAGCAATCAAAAAAACAAAACAAAAAAAAAGAATTAAGAGGGGTGTGAATATTAGAGGACGAGTTTAAGTGGTCCAACATCTGAACCCAGGTATGCTAGAATGTGTAAATAAAGAATTTAAGAAAATTTTACCAAATGTGTGTAGGATGGTAGGTGAAAATGCCTCTAAGGTGAAATCTCAGAATCCTGGGGTGGAGTAGAGGGAAAGGGAAAGATGAGAGGCTGCAGAGAGAATAAAGTTTCATACAAAACTAAAAGTATGAATCTAAGATAAAAATTGATAAAAATAAAAAAAATTGGGGGATGGGTAATAGCTCAGTTGGTAGAGTGCTTTGCTTCACATGTACAAGGCCATGGGTTCAATCCCTAGCACCCCCTACCCACTGCCCCCCCCAAAACCCCCACAAACACCACTTATGAATAAAGAAAAATGAATTCTCAAAAAATAGCAAATTAAATCTATGAATGTATAAACAGAATTATACACCAACACCACCAAGTGGGAATAATTATAACTTCCAAAGAATGGTACAACATTGAAAAATAAATTAATGTAGTCCATCACCTTCACAAGTTCAACAAGAAAAATTCTAAGATCAAATCAATAGGTGCAGAGAAAACATAAAACGAAAAATAAAAAAATTTTCACAAGTGTTGTACAGTTAAGTGTCACAAACCTTCGATGGGCCGTGTGTGGACTATGTTGTGCATAGTAGCCTAATGAGGACGTAAGTCTGGCATTGGGAACCTCCTGTGGCACTCTTACAGGGACTGATCGCCTAATGCAGGTGAACTTCCCCCTCAAGCTCTGCCAGAGATCCCACACAGCACCTGAGATGGGTGTGACCTGCCAAGATGTCAATCAACCTGCTGACTTCAAGATACCAGGAAGCAAGACTCCACCCTTGAAACCTTATCCCTGCCTTTGATGTCCCCTGATATAAATAAAGCAAGCTTGGGCTCCATTTTGCCAGAGTGTAGAAGCTTGGTCTGTATGATTGGCTAGCCTGTCCTGTCCCTGCTTTCTGAAAATATTTTCAGTGTCCTGTGGTTTTCTCATTGTTCTATTTTTCTTAGCTTTTATTTCTTAGCCAGCCCATTCCACTGAGGAGAACTCCGTTCTCATTGTCTGTGCAGGGCCAGAGTTAAGAAGAATGAAAGAAAGGTATTAAAGGATATACTGTGGTACACAACATTAAATCTGTGATATCTTTTATGTTATCATTAAGGGACAACAAAAGTAGCCTGGGCTAATTCTAAGCATAGATGTATGAATTGGGGCTCACACAGAGTGAGCCAAGGTCCAATTGAGAGATTGTGACACAGTGATCAGAAATGGCTGTTATAGCCTGACATGAACAGGACACAGACACACATGGTAAATTCTCATGAAAGAAATTTAAATGCGTATTTAAATTTCCCTGGGCCACGAGTTTTAGGCCAAGGGAGGGATGCTAACCCAGTGAGTGCAAGAGATGGTATGCATTAGAGTCATGAAGCTCTTGCTGTTGTGGGTCTTCTAGATACTACTGAAAAGGCAATAAAGAAAAACGAATTTGACACCCACTTGGAATCTAAAACAAGGTGGGCTAGACCAAGCAAGTATACGGGTATCTAGGGGGCATGTCAGGAAGTTGGAAAATATAATCAATATTATTACCAATGTCCTTATTTGTCCTTACTTCATCATACATAGAGTTTAGCGACTAAGAAAACCCAGTAACTGGCTGGATCTAGATGCAGATGACATTTGGAGAAATCATGTGATAAGGCGCTGAACAGAGGTGAACATACATGCTACTGGCAGGCTCTGTCAGCTTCTACAGGTTATTTGGAGAGGAAATTGTGGGTGGCCCTTCTCTTTAAGCTCTTAAATTTTAGGATTTTGGAAACTCAACTCTTTCTAAGAGAAAGACCACTCTAACTTCCACAGCTTCCATGGGGATCTCTCTAATTACTTAAATATCTCTAAAGAAGATAAAGTATTTGTAGAGCAAGATTACACACACACACACACACACACACACACACACACACACACACACACACATACTCTCCTTCTAATTTGCACATAAAAATGAGTTCTATTCTTTATAGTTAATTCACTGGGAAACTGAATCTATTTTAAAGGTATAGTTCTTTTAGATAGTTTATAAAATATATAAAATAGATAGTTTATAAAATGGGAGCAGATATGCATAACTCCTAGTTTATAAAATGGGAACAGATATATATAAGCCATATTATCCATCCTCTTCAGCCATCAGATTTTGTTTTGAAAGAAACATGCATTGACTGGCCTCCCAAATCAAGTTCACTCACATTTTACTACAGTTGACCATCATCAAGATTGTTTTAAAAAATCAGAAAAATTTCATACAAATTTGAGTGGTTGCAGCATTACTAGAATGTTAGGAGGATTCTGGAAGATGAAAGGGATCACTACAAAGTGGAAGCTCCCAGATCTGCAGGTTAGTATTATTCTAAACTAGGTCAGGGACCTCTAGGTACTTCCCACCATCTCCCTTAATTGGCTCAAGTTCTCCAACCTTAAGTTCACAGAACACTCACCTAAGATTCTTTGATAATTCTGACAGAATGAAGTTTCTTTGAGACTATTCCAAATGCCAAATTTAAAACGCTTAAAAAAGATTCTACCTAGGTTTAGAAAAGAGAGGGGGCTAGCTATTGGTGGAAGATAAGAGGAAGTGCAGATGCTGGGGCCAAAGGCTTGTTAAAGCTAGTCCCGTCCTCTGTTCTTACCTGTGGGGGCCTGCATGGCTGAGCTGGGGATGGTGGCAGCATCTTGGGGAACAGTGCTGGTATCCGGTTCAGGGGTGCTGGTTGTTGGTGAGGTGGGTGGTGGGCTCAGCAAAGTCCGAGGTTTCCTCTGTCAAAATGGATGGGGAAAAGTTTGCTACCCATGATAGGTAACTTGTCTTCTCTTCCTCCACTCCTGGCACTTAATTCACCCATAATACAAAAATATATTTGTAGCTGGAACTTCATTTTCTTTGTTTTCCACTCAGCATCTAGCCCAAAGCTGTATATATAATAGATGCTTAGTAAACATTTTCTGTATCTATGCATAAGATTTTGTGTTCTGCAGAGCTAGATTTTTCTTTTTTGGTACTGAGGATTGAACTCAGGGGCACCTGACCACAGATCCACATCCCCAGCCCTATTTTGTATTTTTATTTAGAGACAGGGTCTCACTGAGTTGCTTAGCACCTCACTTTTGCTGAGGCTGGCTTTGAGCTTGTGATCCTCCTGCCTCAGCTTCCTAAGCCGCTGGGATTATAGGCATGTGCCACTATGCCTAGCTGCAGAGCTAGATTTTAATGCATGTTTATACTAGCTTCAATACTATCATATGAAATTCCAGATTCTTTATAGAAATTGGGCAGCTAAAAGCAAAAAGAAAAAAGCGTACTATGGCTTAAGTCTCTACTGACATTATTTGTTACTTTCTGTTTTTAAAAATAAAAATGACACTTCTAACTCTACAAACTACTATTCTGTCCTACCTCTTCCCTCACACATCCTATTCTAGCAATTCCTAATCATAACACTTCTCTAAAAACCCTGAAGGTGTACCTAGCCCACACCTTCAATATTTAGTTGTCTCTTCTTCCTGAAGCAGCCTTTATTCTTGTATTTACCTTACAAATTTTGGTTCATCTAGGAAGTTTTCCTCTAACTACTACCTTTTTTATTCTCTGTACTTTGTATTGTTGCATTTGTCAATGTATTGAAATTTACATAAATAACACTGTCATTGTCATTATATGTTTGCATACTGCCTCCTGGAGCTGCTTGAGGGTCTGATTCTGAGTATCATTTCTAGCATGGTGCTTGACATATATTACACGTTTTTTAAAAAATTTTTAAAATTAAAAAAATTTCTATTTGTTCTTTTTAGTTGAATATGACAGTAGAATCTACTATGATATATTTATAAATCATGGAATACATCTTATCCTAATTAGGACCCCAGTTTTGTGGTGGTACATAATGTTGAGATTCACTGTGGGGTATTCATATGTGTACCCAGGAAAGTTATGTCAGATCCCACAGTGCAGAGCACCAACAAAGGGGAAGTAATAAAGAGGATTTGAGAGAAATATATTTTCTTTAAGCTGCTCAGGGAAATCTCTGGAGGATAAAGATGTCAGGGTGTTCCAAGAAATAGTTTTCTAAAAGCATAATGTAATGTAATGTAATGTAATGTAATGTAATGTAATGTAATGTAATGTAATGTAATGTAATGCAAACACAAACATTACCAAGATCCAGAAATCCCCTTTTACTAAATGTCCCATTAAGGGTCAACTACTGTGAATTTTATAAACCTGTCTGCTTGCTAGGAGTACACTCTCTGAAGAGAGTATGCTGATGGCAGTAGGCATGCATACAATGGTCTTGCCTGGAAAAGCCCTCATGCAAACCCTTAACAGAAATGGACGTCTGCTCATATTTCCCAATATCTCTAAAAGTGAAAATCCAAACAACCAATGAGTCAGGAATGAAGGGAAACTTCAATGAGTTGGTAGAATTTTGTGGGGTCCCTAAAGGAGCAAGTTATGTGCCTGAATATTATAGAAGAAAGCAGAAAGATGATTCCTATTTCAGATAGGTGCATTTCCATGTATTTTATCTTGTCACATATTACATCATCTCTATTATACAGGTGATAAAACTGGGGCCCAGAGCCTTACTCAAAGACACTTTCCCAGAGTCACACAGGTAGCCACAAATGGAGGTGACATCTGAACCTAAGTCTGACTGGCTTAAAAGCCTTCCTTTTTGCTTCAAAAAGGAATGTTATGCTCATAGGTAAAATGGGTGGTATATACTCTTATAGAAGTTGGTAAAAGAATAGAAGGGGAATGAGGGAGTCATAAGCCAGGCCATAAAATACAAATGTGATGAGAATGACTGCTTTCAAGAAGGATAGAAAGAAAGAAGACTTTGGCCACTATGTTTAAGATTACATGAGGGAGCAGAGCATAATAGTTAGGTTCTGAAGTATCTTAATGGTCAACCATCCATCCAATACTTCTATTCCCTCTCCCTGAAAACATTCCTCTCATAAAGTCACCAGTCTCTAGCAAAACATCTCTAGACCCATTTTGGGATATAATTAACTGTTCCTTTTATGTTGAGACAAAGAACTTCTGCTTAAGTTTCTGCTTATTGTTTCAGTCTTTGGAGTCCCACAGACAGTTTTCTTCCTCTTTGACAATCTTTACAATGTGTTCACATCATCAAAACTATGGCTTCTCTGACTTTGGCATCCCTAGGGCCTTCAGCCTTTTCTCCACAACATGAGAAAGAAGAATATAATAGAGATAAAAATAAATCAGGACCTGGGTTAGGGGTTAGTGGTAATAGGTCAGATATATCATATGTTATATAGGAAGATTAGGAAGTGACATTGAATGTTTAAAGCCAATTAGTAGGAGACAACTGAGATTGGTAACATCATCATTTTAAATTATCCATCCATCCATTGATCCATCCATCCAACCATCCATCTATCCATCCATTCTGCACATACTGAACATCTCCCAAGAGATTGAGATACAAGACACTGCAGAAGAAAAAGAAAAGAAAAAGATTAGGTTATTGAGGACTTTGAGGAGCTTATATTCTATAAGAACTGAAGTTAGTTGGAGCTACTAATCTACTAAACAAATAAAACAACTAACTAGCCCTAGGGAAGAATATGAGACGGAAATGGATTGCCCAGGAGGAACTGGGCATCATTTCCACATTGGAACTCAGATATTCTAGTTCAGGAAGGAGAGTCTGAGAAATCCACTGATAGGAAGTAATGAGGAGGGGATGGTAGAGGGGCCCTAGAGAAGCTGCTGAAGAGCCTCCTCTTCACATCAATGCTTTCCCTAGGGAAGATATCCATGAAGAACTGGCATGTCTAAGAGTTAGTACTTCCAATAATAGTACTCAGAGGAGCTTGATTTAGTAACTTTTTCCAACACTAGAGGTGTTAAGTCCTTTAGGAAATGTAGAGAGTAAATACATGATAGGGCAGTGGTGACCTTCAAATTTGAAGATTTGGGTATCAATCAATATAGTCTCTGCTATGTACTTGCTTAGGACCTAGGAAAATCACTTCACATACATAAGTCTCAACTTACTTAATAATAAAATAACATTAACACAAGCTCCAGAGTTTTGTGAAGATTACATGATGTGAGATAATGGTGTCTAATTCAGAATCTGACACTAAGTAGGTATCTAATAATTTTTTACAGAAGGGGGAGTGATAGCAAAAGAAATATTTACAGAATAATTTTCTCTTTATGTTCACATGCTGGAAATCTACATTGGGAAAGTTAACAAGGAGCAGAGCCTTCCTCCTATGAAAGACTGGATAGAATCCCCCGCCTTATGTGAGTAACTTTCATCAATGTTAAAATTTGTCTCCACTATTCTATCTCTAATAGTTTCAACTCTCAGGTAAAAAGCTAAGTAGAGATGACAGTTTGGGATATTCCTCTTAAAGTCATACATTAGGTCGGGAATAGGAACAGATCTGCTGCTTTCCGAGATAAACTGGTATGAATGAATTACCCCTTTATAGCCCCTTACCCCTTTCTGGGAATCCCACATTTTTACCTACCTTACTGCCAGGTTTGGGACCCCTCTTCTTTGGGAATTTCAAAGATTCAGCTGACTTGGATGGGGTAGAGATGGGATGGGAAATAAGGGTCTTGGGTGTTCGACCCCGCTTCTTTCCTGGTTTACGCCCCCTCTGCCCTGGTTGATGCTCCAAGACAGTTTTGGTGCTGCTGTGGATGCTGGACTTCTCAGTGTTCACATCAGACGCAGGGAAGGGATTCTTTGGAATCACAACTGCAAGAAAAAGACTCATTCTATCACGCCCTCCTTTGCCTGCATTCCCATCCCAGACAAGGAAAAAAGAATTTGCACTTTTGCTCAGGTAGTTTTGCACTAGGGAACTAGTTTCCTGTCATTTGACCCAAAAGTTTAAAAAAATTCAGAAGAAAACTGAATTTTACTTGGCTAGAATTGAAGGTTTTAAATTATTTCTAGCAGCAAAAATATTAAAAATTTCTCCCCAGGTATCTTAGAGAAGCATTGTGACCTAAGTCCAAGTTGAGGTTAGAATGGCTCTAAGGAATGCACAATCTTTTCTTGCTGAGAATGAAGATACAAGGCTCAGAAGAGAAAATGATGGCTTCGCCAGGTGATGCAGTGAGATGGGATAAGGACTCTGTTTTGAAACTGAGTACTGATGACCAAGTCTACATCAATCAACTTGAAGTTTTAATATGATTATTGTAGCAAGGAGCAGTGAAACACATGGAAATATAAATCTGACAGCATATGTCTTTACCTTAAAATCCTTTGCTCCTTAATACTTTTGAGAAGTTTAAATTCTTTATCATGATTTTCAAAGGCTTTTGTGTCTTTGCCCCTATCTTGCCCCAGCCCCATTATGTTTGATGTCATTTCCTGTCACCCATCTTTGTGTTCCAATAGTTCTACATATTAAGCTCTCTATTATTCTTGGTTAAGCATACATAACACTAAATTTTCAGCCCTCAATCCAGGGCTGCCTCCATACTGAGGCCTTCTCTGACCATGCCCTACTCAAGTAGAGCCCTCCCCAATTTCTAAAAGATTTTGTAGATTTCTGTGTTAGAGTGAATCTTAATTTTACTCTTATCCTTAAATTGAGATTTTTGAGATAAGGAATATCTAATTCATTTCATAAATGTTATTGAGCACTTACTACAAGTTATGCACTGTTCTAAGCCTTCGCAATAGAACAATGAAAAAACAGTTTCCAAGCTCATGGAGATTTTTTCCTAGAGGGAGAGACAGAAAGTTGACAAACAAATACACAGATAACATCAGACAGTGAAAAGTGTAAGGGTAAGGAAACTGAGGTGGACCAAAAGTCCTCTTCAAGGAGATGACATTTACACAGAGCTCCCAAATGAGGCAAAGGCAGAAGTCTACAAAGATCTGAGGAAAGAACCTTCCAACTATAGAGTGTAACAAGGGTAAAGATTCTGAAATAGGAATATGTTAGTGTGTCTGAGGAATGGGAAGGAGTCAGTAAACTGAGTGAGCAAAAGGGAGAGTAGAGAGAGATTAGGTTAGAGAAGGAGCAGCAAGAAGACTGAGTAGGACTCTGCAGACATGAAAATGAATCGAACTTATTCTAGGTATGAAGGGGAGTCCCTGAATGGGGAGTGACATGGAACTGCTCTGACTATCCTGTGAGTGAAGCAAGAGTAGAATTAAGGAAACAGTTGATTACAGCAGATGGGTAAAAGATGCAGAATTATGAACTCCAAGTATAGTGAAGTTTATGCAGAAATCAATGTTAACTGTAGTAAGTCTTATCCATATGGAAAACAGTGAGACTTGACCCCTAACTCACACTAGATAATAAAATTAACATGAAAACAAAAACACCAAACATCTAGAATAACACAAGGGGAAAATCATCAAAACTTGGGTTAGGCAAAGAATTAATTAAATAGGGTACAAAAGCATTAATTATAAAGGAAAAGAATGGCATATAACTTCATTAAAAGAAAACATTTCTGGGCTGGGGTTCAGTGGTAGAGCACTTGCCTAGCAAGTATGAGGCCCTGTGTTTTATCATCCTTAGCATCATGGGGGGAAAAAAGAAAGAAAAAAAATCTCCATTCATCAAAAGACAAAACTAAAACTGAAAAGGACAATTCAGGGAGTAGAAAAAAATATGTGAGAAAAATAATATCTAGCATATGTAAAAATGAGTAATAGAAAGATTGATAACCTAATTTTAAAAATGGCTCTCAAGAGGCACTTCACAAAGATGGATATAAAAATATGAAAATTTGCTAAATATTATTGTCAGAGAAATGCAAATTCAAACCATCATTATTACACCTCTACTCAAATTGCCAAAATCAAAAGGACTGACAATACCAGACAATGGTAAAGATGTGAAGCAACTAAAATTCAACATTGTTGTTGTGAACCTAAATAACTTTGAAAAATTGCTTCGTGTATATCCCATGACCTAACAATTCCACACCTAGGTCTATGTCCAAGATAAATGAGCATGACTACCAAATGATACACACTAGAATATGTATCACTCATAGAAAGGCAAAAATGGAAACAGTCTAACTGCCCAACAGAAGAATAGATTTTTAAAATGTGGCATATTTGTAGGGGGGAAAATATTATACACAGAAATAAAAAGAATTATTGTGCAGCAAAATTGATAAATCTCATTGCAAAAAAATGTTAGACAAAGGAAACCAGAATATATGATTCCCTTTATATTAAGTTTGAAAATAGAAAAACTAATCTAGATAATAGAATAGTGAATACCTTTGGGGGTGATGAGTGGGTAAGGTTTTGACTAAGAGAGAGCATAAGTGAGTCTTCTGGATGCTGGAAATGAACTGTATCAATATAAAATAAATGAACAAAAAAGACAAAAGATAATGGTGAACTGGAATCTTAGAATATAATCATATTATTGAAAAGGTTGAAAAATAGTTGGATTCCGAATACACTTTGAAAGAAAAGCCAACAAGCATGGATAGTAAACAGAAAATTAGAAAACAGAAAACACAGAATTATACTGAACAGGTTCAATTAAAATCATATTTAGCTATATTCCATTTATGTAAGATGTGTCAAAATGCATTCTTCTGTCATGTATAACTAATTAAAACAAATAAAAAAGTCATATTTAGCATGGTGGCATATGCCTATAATCCCAGCAACTCAGGAGGCTGAGGCAGGAGGATTGCAAGTTCAAGGTCGGCTTCAGTAACTTAACAAGAATCAAAATTTTTACTGGATCCCCAAGATGGCCGCGAACAGAGTGCATCACCCCGTGTACCGTGCCACTGTGCGGGTGAATAACGAGTTAGAACAACAAAAAACTATCTTGTTAAGAACTTACAGCAAAATGGGGGTGCACCGAAACCCAGAGGAAGGATTTCCAGCACCGAGGTCTGGTAATTGAGTCTCATACACG